AATCACAGAAACCATTTGAAAAAAGTTTCATTCGAAAACCTCAAACCGTGAAGATTCTATGAAAATTCAAAGAACCTATTGCAATAAAACGGCAATTTCATACTTTAACCCCAATACAAAGCTCAAAATTTTTAGTTTCTCTTTAGAAGGATAGCAGGTACACAATTCATATTATAATGGGTTCTGCATTTTTGTAATGGCGTAACAACACGCAAATGATCACTTCTCTTTTTCATGATTGATTTTATTTTAACCTGCTTTTATCGACTTTCCAGTGCTGAGAATGATGGCAATAATGCAGGACGGGAATAATAGCCAGGAAGAAGTGCCGAAAGAATTCCTGGACACGGGCCGGACGGGCCGGCGGAACGCCCTGCCAGACATCCTAAGTGCGGACTCGGAGGTCACTACGGCAGATTTACCCACGCGACTGCAAATGCTCGCGACGAATGGTGAGTTGAGGACACCAATGATTTGGTTGAGGATATATAGACCAATCTTTAATTTTCAATTTTGACACTTTTGGTACTTAATTCAATAAATAAAATATTTATACGCATATGCAAATGACATCATTTGTTTAGTTTTAACATGGCTCGCTTTTTGTGTCTTTGAAGAGACGGGTCTGTTTTCCTTAGCCAACTTGGATATTTTTCGTTTTATTTTTTCAAAATTCTAAATCTAGGTCCAAGAGACACGAAGCGGCCCATTCCAACCGAAGGTCAGGATTATAGATTGTTATTTGGTACTGGATGGTTAGAAATCCATATACATCGAAGTGTTTATTGAACAGTGTATACAGCATCAGCTGTTCCTCATGATAACTCGTCGAAGTCGTCGTGCGCATGTATGAACTCCGTATTGCAAGACTTCGTTGCGTCTGGTTGTCATCGACGCAGAAATGCTGTAGCTGATATCACTCATAATTCTTGCCACTATCGTGAGTCCTAGCATTTTATTGTAGGAGCAGATCAGAAACAACAAAGAAAATAATTTTGAAGCGATGTTGTTAGGTCTAAAACTGACTTTTATTTTTAGCTAAATAGTATTTAATCTCAACCTGCTCTTGTCCAATGATTATACCTCGACAAACTGTATCCACCTATTCGATCACTGTGTACAAAATATACCCTATTTTTATATCTCTAGCCCTACCTAGAAAAATAATGACAGTTAATTTCATTTAGGTATAGGTATACCAGTTCCCAAAGTAGGATTTCAGATGCTTTTGTAAGGAAATAATAGGTATATGTAAATAATATACAACTATCGAACAGACGGTAAATATCCGGAGATGTCGTGTAAATGTTGCAAAGATGTTATGACTATGACTGACCCTGTCATCGAAGAATATGAGGAACACCAAAGTAACTTACACAATTTGAAGTTGTTTACTTTTAACCGTAATGCGGGCTTGTGCTTGCCATGCTTTCGTGGTTCCGGACGATCTGGTGAGAGTGTTAGAAATTACTATTTCAAGTGAAGTAGAACCTTTCAGTATGTTCCTGTAATTAGAATTTTATAGTAAAATTTAGCTTGATGAGATTGACATATATCAAACTTGAAGCAGGGATGAGATACGATCAGTGAAATCGAGAATAGATGTTAAAATATACCAACTGAACTATGAGATATTTTAATCTCTGTATTCATATAATTCGTTAATAGGGTCCTCTACACAAATAATATAAAATGGGCGTGACTATTTGTGAATTTTCAGTTGAATTTCCAAAAACGTAACCAAGCATACTCAAGTATTAATTAAATTCACCAAGAATACCCAATTTAATTGAAAATAACACAAGGAAACTGAAAACAATATGAGTAATTTACATAAAACTATAATCATTGACGTAACATTTAAAAATTATCGCCAAACCATTTCTCGACTTAGTTGACTTTGCTTGCTGCATTTTTTATTGGGACACATAAAAAACTCACTAACTTTTCATCGTGTGTACTTGTGGAAATAAACATTCATGGATGTAGCATTTTTACTAGCAGTAGAGCTCCTTGTGAAAGAGCTCGTCCAGGATAGTACTGCCACCTTATCTATTTCTGCTGCCAAGCAGTAATGTCAGCATTACTGTGTTCCGGGTTTGAAGAGTAAGGATGCTGGTGAAATTACAGGCATATGGGACTTGTCAATTCAGGGTGACGGGCGCAGTGGTGGTGCCCCTCAGAGCTTTGCAATTTAAAACTCTGAGTGGCACTGTTATGGACTGGCGCGTAGCTTACTATAAGGCGCACGACTTTTTCGTCCCCTCACTTGATGTAATAAAAAAAGAAAAAATTAAAACTACAATCATCGACTTGTAGATTTTAAAGATTTTATGTTAATGAATAGTAAAACAAATACGAAAACAAGTTGTGTTTTGTAGTGTTTAAAAATATAATTTGTAGGACGCTCCTACAAATTTCGTCGTCTTAATTTTGTCGATCTATTATTCTAATCAAGCTAAATTTTACGGAGTATAGTTATAAATATTTAGATTTTAATTTTCTATTTCATGTAGTTTTGAAGTCTATCTTCCTCGGTGGCCGAAAGGTTACCATGCTCGAATGCCATGCGCCCGAGTTGGATTCCCGGACCGGGAGGAATATTTGTATGGCCTACATTTATTTCTCTCGTGAGTTTGGGTGTAATTTGTGGTATATCCATGGCACCCGCGATGCAGGGTTTCCCTAGTGCGGGGCTAGGAGTGTGTGCGTGCATTTTTTATTTTTTAAGTGTACAAGTTAGAAGTATAAGACTGGTTAAGAATATACATATAGTAGAGCCGCTATCATTTATACCATATCAGATTATCCAAAAATGTTAAGACAATATTTTTTCAACAAAAACTGTATCTATAATATTTCTTGATAAGGCATTTTAAAATTATTATCCATATAATAAAGATGCTTTCAGAATAAATGAGAGGCACCATTTATATTAGAATTATATTACAGTGCGCAATCTCTGGCGGCCTTGTGGATCCATAAGTCTTTGCTAGACATTCAAAAACCTCTGAAGTCAGTAAATAGCGGTAGCATTGATCGGTTCGCGAGAATACGTTATAAGATATTTATATAATACACAACCATCCATCTTTTATTTTGTATTTAGGTTCCGTATGGCTTTGGTCGTAACTCATTGTGATAGTGATGGATGACTGGTGACACGTGTCTATTCGTTACGTAATAAACAAATGTGTAATTAAAAATAACAATGATGAGAGTGACGCAACACATCAACACAACGCCCTTGAGCAGGGACATGAAGTAGTTAGAAGAGATTTACGCCACTACTGTTTTTAATGTTATGGATGTTTCACTAAACACACAACCCCTTTTGTAGTTTGTGTCAAGGTCTTTGCTTGGCTACTTGACCTATATCCAAATCACTTGCTGTGTCATTGTATACAGCTCATATTTGACCTTTTGCCTAAGACTTTTTTGTACGTATTTGCCAAGTTAATTATCAATTACAGATTGATAAATCTATGACCAAAAGTTCTCGTTCGTTCGCATTGTTTATTGCCAACTGTTCAAATTTTTGACGTAGTCGTGATATTGGTATATTATAAAATCGTAACTCAAATCCCCCTATTTGCCTTTGCAAATAGAGGGGATTTAAGGGATCCAATACGTTTATTGGATACAATGACGCAAATACAACAGAAGCGCTTACGATTACGCAAGAACGGTTTTATCTCATTATAATGGGATTTATGGTCATCAAATGTCAAGATATGACAATAGATATGCAACAATTGACGCACACTATATCAGGCGATAACATTATCTCTTTTTTGGTACCTATCTTCGTCGAATTGTCGACAAATGAGTTTTATAATAACGTAAAAGAAAATTTACGTTAATACTAAGAAGTAATAGATTTATTATTCCCATCGTGTTACTTAGATACAAACGATTGTGACGTCACGATCGTTCGCATCTAACTATTGGCTTTTTCCTTATGTCTTGTTGTCACACTTATAGTCGATTACTACTCTGTGGGCATCAATTCTACCCTCGGACCGAAAAGAGGCATAACTAGTATTGTATACAGTCTGCAAATTGTTCTTGGAGGAGTCGTCTGCTTTCCTCAGATTTAGTCAGCACTGCCTTCGTCGTCGTTTGTACAATAGAAAGTAGTAATTTTGAAGTCAGTCTAGTGAATCTGTCTTTGTGACCACTCAGCCCGTTGGTCATCCACAGAGGCTGGACATTGGTCTTCAATGGAGGCTCGACGCGACAAATATTATTATCAATATTGAGTTATATACATATTCGGGATAAGGAAGAAAAAGGTTATGAACCTAATTTGTGCTCAAAAAGCACAACTGACGTCAATAATCAGATTTTCTACTATAAAAAGTCATAGTTGACATTTATTAAATTAAAAACATTATATAAAGATATTTTAATTAGTGAATAATGTTCAATAATTACTTTATAAATAATACAAAAAAACACTTTTATTAAAATATTTAAAGTCACATTTAAGTTCGTTATGCACTAATAATAATGTACTAATAATGCAGTAATAATATTTTTTTATATTTTATTTCTGCTAAATTAAACAAGAAAATTAAGATTCAGGGATGAATGTTGTTAAATGGCTTATTAAAATCCAATGAAAGTTTTGTATATAATATCAAAAATAAATTTTAAGTATTCTAAAAAATCCACTCGTTTACCCCCGAATTTTGAATTTGCTGCTTTTAGGCTCTTATTTCTTTCGAGAGCCTCTGAATTCAACTACGATGTTTATGTACACGTCTCTCTTAACGGTGACCTAATCGACATCTATATTAAGATATCGATTAAATAACAGGACAGGGTTCACATTTAAACTAAAATCTATGGCGCTTTCAATAAGAACGGCCCAGACTCCAACGTGTCAAACTTGGTGTGCTCCTAATTAACAAACATAAAATTATGAAAAGTAGCAATAAAAACTGTTCATTAAAAAAATACCTTCAGTAAAATGATCTCGTAATTATCGAAAGTATGACCTTTCCAAGATTCGATGTTCAAATTTTCATAGTTCCATTTGCATATTTCTAGATATTGCATCTATGCCGTTTGCAAATATATGGGTTAGCGAAATCGACGCTTTGTTTCGATCCAATAAAGCGCGTAATCAACGCCTTATCTAAATCTCCACGTGATATGACGCCACTCCACTAAGCCCTGTTAGCATAAGGCAGTTGATTTAGTTATTGGTTTAGTCTAGTCCGCAAATCCATATTTACTTTTACGAAGTAAGAAATTAACATTTCATTGCTTAATGACTTGATACTTATGTTTTCTAAATATTTTCACGGATGATAGGTACTCTGTTCTTCTCAGCATTTTTAAGCTAGATCAAGAATACCCATGCTTCAATATATTACTAGGTCTGTGTTTACTTAGCTGACTTGTAACCATTTAATTGTTGTAGGGAAAATCGTACGTAAAGCTAAGAACTCATGAGCGGCTTTCATCTGTTTTATTTCAATATTCACGACACCGCAGGTTCGTGCGGTCACGTAGCTGCCGCAGTTGCGGAACGGGCCGTAAACTTGACGAGAGATTTCGTAAGTCGCGCGGTTATTTACGGTCAATCGAAATCGTCGCCGGCGCGAACCGACCTCAAAGTGCCCGGGCGATCGCGTCTCGCGCGGTTCTACTGGTACCCCACAGATGCTGCGGCTACCGCGAGCAACCCGGTCACAAGCGTAAAACGCATCGTGAAGTGTGCTACTAAATTTTACGTAGATTCTACGGACGTCAGGCGTGGGTAAAAACCGCTCCGTGAGTTCTTAGCCTCAGGCTCTCTAAAATACATACCTATACCCATCTATTATAAAAAAAAAATACATTTTTCCAGATACGCCTGGGCCGATTGACCCAGAAGCTAAAAATTCGGCTTTGTCGTCATCGAGTAATGAAAAAAGCAAGGATACAAAGACGGTTTATAAAGGAAAGGCGGATGGCAGTTGAGCTTTATTTATATTTATACAATTAGTAATTAGGGTTGATAGAAAATACTGCATAATTAAATACTCCATTCTGTAGTGATATTAGTAATATCTACATTGGATTGGATGAGAATTAAAGAAGATGTAAGAACTATTGAAATGAAAACGGGGCATAATACTAATACAGTCAAGCTCAATGACACCGGAGGATAGTATGTGTGTACGTATACGTTTATCGCTCGTTGACGTCGGGTTTAATCCGCTGAATTGGCTACTGCAGTTGCTAACCCGTCTATCTTATTTCGTAATAAGGTCTACGTCAGTTGTCGCCGATTGTCGTATAATATTGTTGACTCATATAAAGTACAAGAGCTTTTTAAGTGATTAGGATTCAGAACCAATACTTTTATCTCTTTATACGCCCTTCGTTCCGTTATTATATACGCTTATTTCAATTCCCTTGGTAGTATTTGAATCCCACAGGAACGGTGTCATGGCTA